TATTAATAAAAAGTCATACATACTCATGATCCTTGTCGGATTATATGTAAATATTGATATATATGTTTTGAAATCGTCTAACTGCCGGATTATGTTATACATGTACATATATGTACAACTAGGACAACAAAAAATATGATCTATAAAATAGAAAAATATAAAATAGTGTTCTCTCTAAAAAAATAAACTGTACTCTGAAAGATTGCGCCGTACATATATAAAAGTTTTTTAAATATTAAAATTAAATATTACTTAAAATTACGACATGGAATAAATTTTAATATATATTGTATTTCCATTGCCTTACTTTTATATTTATTACTTAGTTTTATGGCATTAAAAATTAGATTAAATTACACAGAACCGTGTAAATATATAATTAAGACATGTGTTTAATGTCCTAATTATTTTGGGTACACTAAGTGGTTAAAACACCACTGAAATTTTCGAACAAAAAGATTTTCCTTATTTAATCGTAAAATATTTTTAAGTATATTGTAAATAATTAAGATAAAAATATCGTGCAAGAAAATATTATAGACGTGTCGAGAATACTATGTTAAGGATTAGGTTTATTCAAAAAATGTCCAACATACAGAATGAATTAATTTGTGAGTATAAGGTAAAAAAGTGTGACGCAAGCCTCCTTCCTGGCTTATAAAAGAAATTAATGAAGATTCTTATTCTAATATTTGTTTATTAGGAAATTATAATAGTCAAATATTTTTAATTTATATAAATTTATTAATTATTTAAAAATATATACAATACATAAGGAATCGTACATATTTTATGTATTGTTTTTCTATTTAATGTATCGTTTTTGGCTATTTTTATATCACGGCTTTACATTATTTATTATAATTGTTATTTTTATTAAGGAGCACGCAGCTATGTATTATATATATACTTAATGTATTTCATAATACTGTAGGTACAATAATTCTACCTTTTTAATTATCGTTCACTCATGTGCTAATTTTCAAGTACATATCGAAGTGTCGTCTAACTTAATAAGTCAATCTAAAGAAAATATTTCTAAAATTACGAATAGACAAGTTGTAACAATATCTAATATAATATATTACATAGTCATATAGAATAGATTTGTAGAATAAAAATACAACGAATAGAGCATAGTTGGCGCATAACGAAATACTGTATAACGGCGATGTTATGTGTCGAAAAATCCATTATTTGACGAAGATATTAGATACGATTTTAATAAAAACAATACAACAAGCGCACCGTGCGTCTAATCATGCCCTCCCCCCCAGCCGCATCATCGTACATCGTGTCATGTATAAAAGATTCACGCAGGATTGCGTAAAAAACAAAATTTTTTTGAAGAACAAAATAATGTGTTTTTTGACAAGTTTTTAATGCTTTATATGCACTTTAAATAATATTATAAAAAAGCAACATTATCATGTTTTAAACACGTTAAAACATATTAAAAGCATCTATATTAAGTATGCTTTAAATGGTTTAAACCATGATTTTTACTAATCCTATTGTTTCACTCGCGTTTACAATTATAGTATAGTATAGATCACACGGCATAAGAAAAGTCTATCTGTGTATTTAACAAAGTTATTATTTTTACTACTTTTTAAAGACCACGGCACACATACATCTATGATTTCTATAAATAGGTAGACATTATCTGTATTTTATACTTGATTCTTTACTTTATAATTTTCCTTTTTGATATTTTCACAATTAAAGGTGTTTAGTCGAGTAGTAAATATGTTACCAATTAAGCAATACATCAAATAATAACTTATCATTAGTTACAACTATAGTATACCTAATACTAAATAACTATTTTTATAGAAAATAATTCAAACATCACATGCATTCAGTTAATTCACGAATTGTCAAAATGTAATAATTAATACACGAAAAGTATTAGAAAAACGATAAAATTAGGAACATATACGGACATATTTTTATATACTTAAAAATTAGTTATTAACTTATTTAACTAATATTTATCATAATTGTAATTATAAAAATCATATGTAATTCTATTATCATTATTATAATGATATATAATATTGTAATGATTAATATGTGATAAATGATATTAATATAATTATTGATTAATTAAAATGTTTAACCTTTAGGAAAAAGTACTTCAATAAACTAATTAAATATTCAGTAATTGATGATATGGCACCAGTTACTAGTGAGTATATTGATGCACTTTTTCTTAATGAAATTATCGCATATTTTCTTAGCAAAAAAATGTAATTGTTTTAAAAGAAATCTATAATTATAATTTAATTGATTGATTTATATTATTTATATCTATTGAACGTTATTTCAGATTCTTTTTCCTAATAGTAAAGTATACTATTCGTATTATTCGATGCCCACCCCTAATTTTACTAGTACCTCAACAATTATAATTTCGCCATTATGAAAGGCCATGATAAGAGGAAATGTAATGCCCGACAAAATTTTTTATCATCTACTTGTTTCAACTTTTCTATCTGTCTATCAAAAGCATCTGGATAGTAGAGTTCAAAAATTTGGCAAAAACTCGCTAGGAAACCTACAACGGCTCTTTTTATTTTATTTTTGATAAACATTTCTCTGAAAATAGCGTCCACCCCATCGCTGTCGAATTTAATTATCTTTGTTATATTATTAATCATATTCTGCACATTTTTCGTTGTTGAAGGTTTTTCAGCGACAAGCTGATAAGCCGCTTGAACAAAACGCACAATAGATCGTAACACATAGTATTTGGATTTTGAATAAATCTCAGCTATTCTCTCGATAAATCGAGGTTCTTCAGATAATCGGAGGATCAAATTTTGCGGTATGATCTTCGAAGGTGAAAACAAAAACATCAGATAAAAAACCAATTTTTCGTTCGAGTACGTCATTATCTTTTCCATAACGTCGTCCAATACCGCCTGCAGATTTATCATAAAACAAAAATGCCGATTTTATATAACTTTAGTATATATATGATTATGATTAAATAGAGATTATAAAAAATTTAATAATCAATACTTCGGTAGATATTAGAGAAATTCTAAAAGGAATAAAAATTGCAGAAATCGAGATTATAACGAAATTCTTTTATAATTGTAAAGTAGATGTTTAGTTTTGTTGTACCAAAACAAATGGCTGTAAATCATAACTATAGAAGGTAACTTACTTGCTCCATTATTATAGTGTCTCTCCTAAGGTATATTACTTCTTCCATTATTTTAAATACAAATGTAATTAATTATAACGTTATCTTTAAATAAGGTACAATTTTGTGGTCTGTTTATACAATTTTATAAATATTAGTAATTTTATACTACAGAACAATCAAAAACAAACTTCTACAAATGTATATACGAAGTAAGATGTAAGGAGACTGAAGGAGACTCCACTTCATAAAAAACGTGGGCTGATTTTAGGTTCCGAGTTCAGTTTCCAATTCTCGACACTCGCAGAGTTCGTGAATTTAATCGTGATGCGCATGAGGACGTCATAAGAAAGTGTCACGAATGTAATCTATTTTCTCCGTGAAGGCGATTGAAAACGATTTTGACTGATTTTGAATGCTGTCAAAATCGTTTTCAATCGCCTTCACGGAGAAAATAGATTACATTCGTGACACTTTCTTATGACGTCCTCATGCGCATCACGATTAAATTCACGAACTCTGCGAGTGTCGAGAATTGGAAACTGAACTCGGAACCTAAAATCAGCCCACGTTTCGTATAGACTGGAGTGGAGTCTCCTTATATCTTACTTCCTAATCTTATTTATTGTATAGTCTAAGCGACATCTATATACGTGCTCTCCTGTGGCTGTCAACTAATGTAAAAACTGTATCGACTACGAATCTGTATCTGCTACGAAGAGTAGCACGTTTCATTTGTCCTATGAAAAACTCCGCTTATGACATCGTTGCGTCGAAAAACGTTGTTTCCGTTTTCGCCACGAAAATCAATACATTTGAGTTTTGACTTTCGAAAAGTAGCACATTTCATTTTATACCACAAATAATATGTTTGAGCGTTTTATGTTTTTCGTGGTATAAAGCGAAATATGTTACCTTTCGCGACTAAATGCGACTAAACGCTGAAACGTATTAGTTTTCGTAGCAAGGACCGAAACGTGATAATATTCGTCAATTAAATTGAAACATGCTACTTTTCGTAGCAGGCGTCAGTAAACTGTAGAGTGGGCCAATAAAAATAATCATCAATCTAACAAATAATAGGAGCTATTATATTTACATTGGCCACTTACTTCTCGCTATATGATTAAATAGTAGAAACTTGCGTTAACGTTATCTGTCCCATAATGCTCATATACTTGTTGGTAGCAAAATCGAAAATGAGTTTTTCCATGCATCAGTTAGTGTGTGGTAAAAAAAGTATATTTTTTTAGCCAATGACAAAAAAATAAAGAATGTAAAATTAAAACAGCAGAATATACAAAGATGAAACACACGTAAAATGAACTACATAAATTCAGTACTTGCAATAAGTATAGCGCAAAACAATATTTAATAATATTATTTGTATTTAATAAATAATGTAACTAATAAAAAATTATTTAATAGGTATATTTATTTATTTGAAATATACTTATTAATTTTCTAACTTATTGTTCATTTTGATGTCACACATCAAAGTTAGTTTCAAGATAAATGCCACAGTATTATCTAGTGAATCAGTCTTTACACAGTATTCTTGAAATTATGAGAGAATCCGTAATAACATTTTACACAGTATTATATAATTATATAAAATTTATAAATTAAAAAAAATTAAACATTGTATATGTTCAATTAGTTTTGTCAGATAAATCGAATAACGTTCAGTTCTAATTCAATCACATAAATGTAAAACTTATTTTCTAAAAGGTTAAAAGTAAAAAAAATAAAAAAGCTTATAGATATATATTCAATTCGATGGGCTTTTAATGTGCAATGTACAATGCACTTTTGATATTGTTTATATTTTTATTTACATCACGTCATCAATTTAGATATGTTTTAAAGATAATAGTTAAGTATGGTATGCAGAATAATACGTAAAAAAATGTAAAGAAAATAATTACTTCTTAAAATCTCTTGTTTCTTCTGTGTTTTCAGATGAAGTTGTAGAATCTTTATCAGATTTCCTTTTTATTGTCATGTTCTTGCTCGTACCGTCACTTATGCCCGTTTGCCTTGCAATAATTTCCCTGCATTTAAATACGAAAAGATATGAAAATTACCTCCACTATTTTAAATATAATAGAATTATATAATTTTTCTATAATATAATTCCTCTAATTATTCTACACACATACAAAAATATTTAAAAAATATCAAAAAATCAATAGTTTACGAGATTTTATTTATTTTATATTTTATTTTAATAAATTTACATACAATATATATATATAAAATATTCAAAATAAACAATTCATTTTTTTAACAACTGCACCTTAATATTTTTACAGAGTAATAAAATTAATTACTTGGCATAAAGAAACATTGTTGATTTAAAAAAAAATATATAAAATTGCACAACTTTTTTAAAATCAACTGTGTTTTTTTTTTGTATTATTTGATGATAATGCTGATCATGTTAACACTCACGCAATTAACAAGTCTTAAATGCCCGACTCTAATCAGAAAAATCATATCAAATTGAAGGAGAAAAGATATAACGATTTATTTTCAACACATGATAATTATTTATCCCCTGATAATTACCCTATAGATTATTAAACGAAAGCTATCCAGAAAGTAAGTTCCGGTTTTCAATTTTGCCGGTGCGACAGTGCGCATAGATGTCGAGTTTGTCGATTCGTTGGTAAAGGATTGACGCGACTTTCAATTATTGTGTATATGCATTATAATGTATGTTTATACATATAATGTTTAAACAAATCGTGATGCTCACTACTTGTGAAATACGGATCCGTTTCTTGAATGCAAGAAAAAATAGGGAGTTTTTGGAATATCGTTATCTTTTTCTTAATTAGATGTGAAGAAAAAGATAACATGGCTTTAGCGTTTACCGCATCTGGGATAAACGGTATTGCAAAAACTCCCTATTAATGCAGCTGAAATTTACTATTAAACTTGTAAAATATACAAAAAACGTGTAATGAACGATTCAATGGTACACGAAGATGAATGAGACTTTTCAATGAAGGACGTGAAAATATGCACGACGACGAACGGGACGGGCAACCGTTAATCTCTGGTTAATGATGATTTGATGCGTGTAGTTAAATAGAAAATTAATTTGATATTCTCCCTTACTGATAAGATAAATGCTTAATACCTTACTATAATAAGTGCATCATCAACAACGGAAGCAACTATGTAAAAAAATAATGTACACTTTAAAGAGCAATACAAATTTTCTATAAGTATATACTTGTTTTCTTTTAATAGGTCATCAGACTTACTTTCTGAATAATCCTTGTATATACAGGGTGAGGCATTTAAAACAGATCACCTGAATTAACTCGTTCGTTTTTAACAATAAAAGGAAAAGTATCGAACAAAAGTTGCTTGGTTTCGAGGGGCACATAATGTGATATCAATAATTGTTTTATAGGTGGAAGCGTAAAGGATAGGCAAAGATTAAATCTGTTCTTTTTAATGAAATGTTTTTTTATTTACATTCTGATAGTAAATCGCTAATCGTTCAAATGTATCACGTTATGTAAATAAACATTGAATCGCACAAAGCATTATCCATATTTACTGATTAGTTTGAATTTATCTATCGATCAAAGTGCGTGTTTTGTAAAATGCATTATTGTGACTTGTTTTAAATGCCTCACCCTGTATTGAAAAGGCAATGCTTACTTCCTAAAATTGATTTATGTATATTGATAAATATAAATAATTACTCGTTAAGAGAATGTTTTGTTTCTTCTGTGTTTCCATGTAAATTATTAGATGAAACTGCTAAGTTTTCTTGAGATTCTACTTTTTTCGTAGTTGTATCCCTGTTTGTATCATTGCTCATATCGTCCGCAAACTTTGCAGCAATTTCCCTACATTTATGGCAGGATAAAAGAAATTAGAAATGTAACGGAAAAATGTAAATTAGTTTTAATCATGCATATTACTCTATTATGAGATAAAAACTTTTTTTTTTTTTTAAAGAACTATCTATAGAGTTTAAACAGTAGATTTAAAGCCACTTTAAAAAGTTCTTTTCAAAATGAGACCACTTAAAATATTGATGATTTATATATGTGTTTTTGTATCTATTATTTAAAAAAAATTAATTTATTATGTCTTACGAATATACAATAATAGAAAATATATTATTAATTAAATATAAAGTCTTGGAAGAAAGTCTTTTAGTTGTATCCCAAGATGTATACCTATTAATTTAAACAATCATCAAATTAATTTGAAATAAACAATTAAATTAATTTTTACAAATATACTTTTCGGCCAATGACACATTTTGTGTTCTAATTTATAAAGTCTGATAAAACTTTAATCATTATCATAGATGTTAGTATAAAATTTCTTATACTAATTTATTATTTCTTAAGTTACCCACATCTTATATTAACACCTAATAAATTATTATTTTTAAATTAGAGTACAAAATGTCACTGGCTGAAAACTTTTGCATGCCACTGTACCTTTTTATATCATATTTGCAAAAAAATGTAACACTTATGTTGTATATTATATTAAGTATCTTGTTAAAAACACATATACATTTTTCTAAGCTATTCATTGTTACTATTAATTTTACATTATTCAGTGTTTTATTTAATTTTTTAATATACTGTACGAGTACCTACCTATGAACGCGTTTTAAGTGTAAATTTAAACATCTAGTGGTTGATATTATGTTATATGTTTTATTACAAATGTTGCATATAGCACTCATATTGTTTCCTGGTGTAAAGTAATCCCATACCCAACTGATTTTACGATCTTCTTTCTCCTTATCTGTTAATTTATCTGGATGGACCAATCTCAAGTGGCAAGGTAATTCAGGTACATACTTGTAACAAAATACTTCAGAACAATGATTGCATTTTGCTCTATTTGTTGTTAATTTTGTGTAATTTTTACGTATCCAGCGTCGAACTGGGATCCGTTCATCATCTTCTTCTTCTTCCTCTATTATAACGTTTTATATAGTACAAAATATTAGTTAATTATATCATTTAAAACTATATTATTGGAAATATATAAATTATGTATTTATATATAAGTACACAATAAAAAATTTATGTATAATTGTATATAAAAATTAGACAGCATTACATAAAATTATATATGATTATGTGGTAATTGTTGAATTTAACCTTCTCACCTCCGGTTTTGATAAAATTAGACTCAATCAACGCGTTCTTCGACAAAATAAACGGATCTGGCAAAAAAAGTGTTGCTCTACCCCATGGATCGGGATATTAATTCGTAAAGTTAACGACTGTTTATGTTTAGGTTAGGAAATCTGTCACATGGCATAGCATAGAGGGACATGAGACCGTGTGAGGTTAGAATAAGAACATATATTTTTTCTATTTCAATATTACACAAATTCTTTACTTTATAGAAATTATTTTCTATATAATTTATATAGTAGAAAATTTGTTTTGGTTAGGTACTTATCTGCTTTAAAAACACAAACTTTCTTTTAAAAACAAATTATTTAGAATTTGTTTCTAAAATAGAAAATTTGTGTTTATAAAACAGAATTTATGTAATCCTCTATGCCATTGATATGACAGATTTCCTAATATAAGTATCTGTTAAAACAACTAATCTCTTGGTTCACAGGACAGAGCGACAATTTTTTCGCCAGGTTCGTTCATTTTGTACATCAACTGAGATTAATTTCTTAAAAATTATTTTTTAAATTGAAGATGAAATTCAACAATTATCAATTATGTAATAGATTATACATGATTATATATATTTTCATATAAAATTTTGTATTTAATTATTGTTATACGTAAAAAATTGTTTACCAAGTAAACAATTTGGTTTACTGCATTCCTCGTTTTTTTTCTCATATGTCGAACATTTGCGTGGACCATGTTTTATGTCACATATACTGCAGTTGGACTTTTGTGTTACCTTCTTGGCTCTGACCTCTCTGACTTTACTGATCTTCTGTGTTACTTTTTTTCTTAGACCATGTTTCTCTACTTTGCGTCCTTGTTGCTTTCTTTCTTGAATTTCAGAAGCTCTGCAGTAATTAATTGTCTTTTGCAAATTGAGATCTTCCATTTTTAGAAGTCTATCCTGCAGTGCTTTGTCTCTTATTCCAAACACAATTTTGTCTCGAATCATTCTATTAGTCATTGTTCCAAAGTCACACGTTTGACTAAGCTTTCTTATATCTCTTAAAAAGCTCTCAAATTTTTCATCTTCTTGTTGTATTCTGCTAAAGAACTTGAACGTTTCATGTACAATATTTTTCTTAGGACCGCAATGCTCTTCAAAACATTGCAACACTCGTGTCAAGTTTTTCTTCTCTGTTTCTTGGAGATTAAATTTATTGTATAATTCAATACCATCTTTGCCGACAATATTTAATAATATAGCGACTTTAATCTCATCCGATTTTATAATATCGTTTGTCACTTTTAAAAATATGTCAAAGCTTTCCCTAACCTTGTTCCAGTTTTCATTAAGATTTCCATTGGTTTTCAATCCTTTTGGTAACTTTCGAAGTAGTTTCATTTTACAGTCGGTATCGTTTGTATTTTCCATGACTAACCTCTTCCAATGATTAATGAACTTTTCTACATTTACTATAACCTACTCTACTACATATGAAGACTTTTATTATATACTGTTATTAGTACACCTTATGAAATCCTGCAGAAAGAAACTCGGGTGCGTTCCGTTTCACACATGATGAGCATGCATCGTTTATTCTTGTTGCTCATCATATGTTAAACAAGGACAATTGATGTATTATGCGCATCATGCGCGAAGCGCGAACGCACCTGTAAGGTCTCCTTTTTATTGCTACACTTTCTAAACTGGTGCACATGATGCAATAAGTTGAAGTGAAACAAACGTATATTTATTTCACTTCAATTTATGGCAACGTGTGTATCCATTCGGAGAGTGCAACAATAAAAAACAGACCTCTAGTCTTTACTGTACTATTGCACATACATATTTCTTACAGCCAATCAAAAAGCAAAATCCTATCCGCCATGTAATTTATTCTTCTCGAATTCGACTGTAATTGGTTAATTTCTTACGATTTAAGGCTTAAAACACCTATTGTAGATCCGGAGTAAAACTCTATTAAGGACGTAAGACGTAAGGATAAAGAAATCGATCAATCCTAATCGTGTATTTAACCTTCGGAGTTTCATGTATGAAGGCCTAATAAATCATAAATTTAGTACTACATTATTAGTTTCTTACTCAAAATAACTTAAATTTTTACAGTGACGCAAACTTCCATAAAATCAACCATTTTTAATACGTATTTCGTCGATGTTGAAAATTACCATGCAAAACTCTTGTCCAACTACGTTTTTTTTTTTTTGCGATTTCCTCTAAAACGAAGCAAAAAGGAACATATCCTTAGGACTTTTTTTTTAGTTTATCGATCCCTTATGTGGGATTTACACTGCGTACGACATCCGACAACAAGCTCTCCTATTGGTGGATATCGTACCGTCGTATGTCGGACGCAGTGTGAATACTACATTACATGTTGAAGTCTCATGTAATTAAATAAAATAAATCACATAACGGAATGTTCCAAATCAGTACTTGATTTTTTAAAATCACATGATATTAAAAATAATTTCATAGTTATCAAACACAACTAAATTTTTACTATTACTTTCATATTAATATCTCTTTAGACTTATTTATAGACTTTCATATTAAGATTATAACAGAATAACGAACAATAAAATTCTTGTAATACTAAATTTTTATAAATATTTTCGTTTAATATATTAAAATACTCAGAGCAGACATTGAACTTCAAATATTATTTTTTGTAATAAATTTATTTACATCTCATTTAAGTGTATCAATATTCAAAATCTCGGAAATGTCGGAATACACATGTAATATAGTTACTAAATTCAACTGAACTTGCTACATTGTAGAATGCAAATATATTTTTCAACCTTCTCAAGATAAAAAAAGAATGTCAAAGCTTTTGTTTCAAATCTAATTTCCAATAAACGAATTCTTAAATAAACTTATTAATATCATTCAAAAATCTTTTAAAAAATTAGAAAAACTTCTCTTATCAAATTGTGATTACTCTGTACATATTTACATATTTACAGGCTAGAACATATTAACATTGAAGAAGTTTAAAAATATTTCTGCAAAGGCTCTCCTAAAATTTCTTCTAAAGTTCGAACAGCATTCTGTGCACACTTCTCCGTAGCTTCATCTTCGTCTTCCAACATCTCCGCCAGGAATGGTACTGTTTCTGGCAATAATGGCATAAAATCCTCGCCTAATTTTCTCGCAATTTCCACCTAGATTGTAACCGCAAATAATTGTCAAAAAATAAAAAAAGATAATTTAAATGAGAAGTATAAATCAATAGTAGAACAATTTAATTTCCATGTACATTATGATCACATAAATATAAAGCAGTATAAGCAGTTTTTAGTAAAAATAATTTCTTTACTAAATTTTATTTGAACATAATGAATTTTTGTATTCGTTTAAGATAATTATCTAAATGCTTTATGAATTAGTGTAATTAGTTTTAAATGAAGTTAAGAAAAAGATTCCAAACAAGTTATATCTTACCAAATTTTAAAGAAATAAAAATAGAAACTTCACTGCGTAATAACTTTCATATTATATATATAAATTAAACTTATTTACTATATAAGTCTTACCAATGCATTTAAAGCTGTGCTTCTGACATAAGGCTTTGCATGCCTCGTCTTCAGCAACGTTTGATAAACCAGTTGTTTGTGCAATGAATCATCGGAAATAGCGCTAGCAAAAGAAGCTATGCAAGGTACAATAAGCCGACTAGCTCGAGTCTCATATTCTTCTTTCGTTCCCATTGTGTTTTCCACTTGATCCACTATCGGTTGCATGAGAATCTCATATCGGTCCTCAACGACGAAGTTATGCACATCATAACTGAATACGCGATGAAGTGTCAACAAAATTGCCTCTATCACCTCAATTCTGCTGGATTCATCTGGAAGTGTTAATTCCTGCGGAGTATCTGTTACGAACATGTTGTTGCTGCTCAGTAACGACGCTGCATGCTTCAAAAAAAGTCCAGCAAACAGAACGAACAGGGACTTCAAACATTCTGCTATATTTGCCGATAATCTAAACAAAGAAATTAAAAGTCGTAAATTTTATAAAAATTGATGAATATAAAATGTATTATTTTTCGTTAATCTACTATCTTAAACAAGTTTGCAAATTATCATATTAAAGAAAAACGGTATATATTTTAAAGGTAAAGCATTTGAAGTTACTTGTTATTGATCGATGAAATTAAATTTATATTTATTTCAATTACGTATAATATAAATATATATATATATATATATATATTTATATAACTAAGAACCTTATTATTACTAAAAGCAATATTATTATTGATTAATATAAATGTTTAATATTACACGATTATTATTATAGGAACTGTATTATTGCTTTAAAACACATTTACAACTATAATTTAATATAATTTAATTTATTGATATTGATTTATTTTATATTGTTAATACCTGTAGAATGTTATACTCCGATGTTTATGCTGTGCATTATTCGCTGCCCAGTCATAAAGTTTATCATAGAATGGTCTAAACGTTACTTCACTCAATTTCAAGAGTAACGCTACCAATGCCTTACTAGCGCTTTCCTCAACCGCGACGATATCTTTTAATGTAATTTGTTGATCGTCATGCGCTTTCATATTATCCCCGATTCTTTCACGGAATTGAAGAACTTGGAGGAAGAAATTGGCGAGATTATCGACTTCCACTTTCAGCTCTGTTGGAGGTACACTGTCGAAGGATTCTGCTAGCACGCTCATCAACGATGGTATACATATATAAGCTTTTTTGTTTAATAGCAATTGATAAGTTCCGTTAATACTTGGCAGCAGTACTCGCAGAGATGTACAACTGGATAATTTTTGCGTTGTTGTTTTCAAACGCGAAACGACAATACTAGCCTGTCAAAATATTAACAAAAACAATTAAGCTTCAAAGAACCAATAAAGTTTCTAGGTAGAACCACCGAAAAATGGATACCATTTGGTAACCAATTCTTAGCAGACAAAACATTAAACGAATACCTTAGGATGATCCGTGTTGGTATACTGAGAGCTGAGCATTGTTAATTCATACAAGAGTTGATCCAAGTAGAGCGACAAGAAATTTCCCAAAGATTCCACTATCTTCTGCAAAGCACTCACAATGCTGATGACTATAACATCTGGCACATTTTGATAGCAATGGGTTTTTAATAAGTTTAGAATTGCTGGTACAAACTTATTCAGAGAGTACAGAGCATGGGTCCGCATTGAACTACATAATTCTGCTACACACAACGCTGCATTGGCTAATACTGGACCATTTTTGGATTTCAACAATTCCGTCGTTATATCCAAAATCTATTAATAATCATTAATATATATAATGTTAAATAATAATTATGTAATTATAATATACTATATTATAATATAACATTATAATATGATTATATTATACTTAATATAATATTAATTTTTCTGAAGATTATTAAATAAATTACCAAAACATTTTTCTTTAGAATCAAATATTAGATAAAATATTAAATAAAAATTTATTCAATCAAATGTACGTACTGGTCTAAAAACAGCAGGACGGTCAATGGCCAGTAATTTCGTCAGTAATTTCAAAGATATCAATACTGTCTGTTGTACGACCTCTTGTTCCTGGTTTTCAACTTTTACTTCAATGTCGAAGAAGTCTGTCAAAGGTTTAATCAAACTCAGAAGCTCTTCATAAACATCCTCACCGAATTTCTTCTGAAGCAATCTTGCATTCAACAATTCCAGAGCTTTTTTCTTTACTTGTAGCATTTCATGTTTTAAGAGGTTCTTGATGCTCTGAAGGAACAGGGTATTTGGCAATAGATTGTTCACTAAATCCAGCACATCGTACAAATGATGTAGTAACACTTTCCAGTACTTGGCGCTTGGTTTATTCTGATGCTGATCAGTAATCTTCGAGATAATCTGAATAAACATAATCAACTCGATCGCCAGATGATCGCAGTGCTTATTTATATTATCTGCCTCATCCTCGTTTAGCACTGCTACACGATTGATAAAATCCTCGGACGACAAGAGGTTACTGAGTAATTGCACAGCCATTATCTTATAATGCCGAAGACTTTTTGGCGTGGACTTAGTCACATCATAAATATATTTGTATTGAAATTTCATCGCCTCTCTTCTACCTTGCTCTTCTTCAATATCAATTGGCAAGATCTTGATGAACTGGACCACCTTCGTGCAAATCTGAAACAAAAATTGGAAAAGTTTTTATTATATTTCTGGATAATAAAAAAAATATATAATTATTTTTTCAGAAAAAGTCACATCATTAAAATATTGTATTAAAATTTTATAAAAAATTGTCATATAGTTAGATTCTAAGTGGAAATGATTATTGAAAACTGACCTGAAGCAATCGATACGGCGGAAATTCTTGAGACACCTGAAGAGCAAAATCCAACCATTGTGTGGGATG